GCACGAGGCTGGTACCTTGTTTAGTGGTGCACAGGCTGGTACCCTATAGTGGTGCAGAGGCACTTGTATAGTGGAGCACGAGGCTGGTACCCCCTTGTTTAGTGGTGCACAGGCTGGTACCCCTTGTGGTCACAGGCTGGTACCCCTTGTTCAGTGGTGCACGTGGTACCTGCACAGGCTGGTACCCCCTCACAGGCTGGTTTGTTTAGTGGTGCACGGCTGGTTTTTCAGTGGTGCACAGTTGCTGGTACGATTTATTGTTTAGTGTGCAGGCTGGTACCCCTTGTTTAGTGGTGCGAGGCTGGTACCCCTTTTTTGGTGCACCTTTGTTTAGGTGGTGTACCCCTTGTTTAGTGGTGCACGACGCTGGTACACCCTTGTTTAGTGGTGCACGAGGCTGGTTTAGTGGTGCACGAGGCTGGTACCCTTGTTTAGTGGTGCACGAGGCTGGTTGTTTAGGGTGCACGACGCTCATACCCTTGTTTAGTGGTGCTGAGGCTGGTACACCCTTGTTTAGTGGTGCACGGCTGCTACCCTTGTTTAACGAGGCTGGTACACCCTTGAGTGGTGCACGAGGCTGGTACACCCTTGTTTAGTGGGTGCACGAGGCTGGTACCCCTTGTTTAGTGGTGCACGAGGCTGGTACACCCCTTGTTTAGTGGTGCACGAGGCTGGTAATTCTTGTTTAGTGGTGCACGACGCTGGCACTTGTTTAGTGGTGCACGAGGCTGGTACACCCTTGTTTAGTGGTGCACGAGGCTGGTGTTTAGTGGTGCACCTGGTACTTGTTTAGTGGTGCACGAGGCTGGTACCCTTGTTTAGTGGTGCACGAGGCTGGTACACCCTTGTTTAGTGGTGCACGAGGCTGGTACACCCTTGTTTAGTGGTGCACGAGGCTGGTACCCCTTGTTTAGTGGTGCACGAGGCTGGTACCCCCTTGTTCAGTGGTGCACGAGGCTGGTACCTTATTTAGTGGTGCACCTGCTTTGTTTAGGGTGCACGAGGCTACCTTGTTTAGTGGTGCACGCTGGGTACCCCCTTATTTAGTGGTGCACGAGGCTGGTACACCCTTGTTTAGTGGTGCACGAGGCTGGTACCCCCTTGTTTAGTGGTGCACGAGGCTGCTACCCCCTTGTTTAGTGGTGCACGACGCTGGTACACCCTTGTTTAGCGGTGCACGAGGCTGGAGTACCCCTTATTTGGTAGTGCACAGGCTACTACCCCCTTATTTAGTGGTGCACGAGGCTGGTACACCCTTGTTTAGTGGTGCACGAGGCTGGTACCCCCTTGTTTAGTGGTGCACGAGGCTGCTACCCCCTTGTTTAGTGGTGCACGACGCTGGTACACCCTTGTTTAGCGGTGCACGAGGCTGGTTCCTTAATGGCTCGGTCACTCCATTATATTACCAGCTGATTACGTCTTTATGGCTGGTGTATAAAGTATTAAGTGCGCTGGCTGGGGACTCGCTCATACCCGATTAGGTTCAATCTGGTTAGGTTAGGTTAGGTTAGGTCAGGTCAGATATGATTAGGTTCAGTCAGGTTAGGTTAGGTTAGGTCAGATATGATTAGGTTCAGTGAGGTTAGATTATGTTAGGTCAAATGGGATTAGGGTCAGTCTGGTGAGGTTGGGTTAGATTAGATCAGGTCAGATTATGATTAGGTTCAATTAGGTTAGGTAAGGTAAGATCAGGTCAGGTCAGGTTAAGTCATTGGGATTAAGTTCGGTCACGTTAGGTTAGAATAGAATATAAGTGAATACATTATGTTAAGGTTAGATTAAGGTAGTTTATGTTAGGTTAGGTTAAAACTAAATGAAGTAAGATTAGGTTAGGTTTAAACTAAAGCCAGATTAAGTAAGGATAAGTTACAGTAAGTTAGATCAGGTTAGGACAGGATAAGTGAGGATAACTTTAGCCAGATCCTAATTAAAGCTCCGGTGAAAGGCTGACCAGGTGTGTGTGTGTGTTCCTTGGCTGAAGTAATTACCTGGGGAGAATTAATTAAATCAATCACGTATATATTAGAGAGTACAGCGTGATGTGCGGCTTGTCTCTCTCTCCCTTCCTTCCCTCCATACCTACCCACTCCTTTCCCTCCCTTCCACCCTCCCCCCTTTCATACCTACCTACCTTACCTCCCTGTCTTCCTTCCCTCCCCTCCCTTCCTTCCTTCCATACTTATACTTTCCTATCTACCTACCTTTCCCTCCCCCCACCTTCCCTTCCCTCCCTCGCTCCCTCACTCCCTCCCTTCCTTCCTTACCACAAGACCCTCTCCCAGCAGGCACCAGCAGCGTGTGATGGCCGCCTGAGGTTCACATGTCTACCGAGAGCCCGCCCGGGTGGTATCGTGTGCTCAACCTACACAACATATATCTTGTTAATAAGACTCAGAGTACCAACATAGATAAGCTTAATGCACAGTATGTTATGGTATTTGGATCACATGAAGCTTAGCCTTCCCTACCCCTCCCTCCCCCTGAAGCTTATTTTACCTGATGATTAAACAACCTTATGCTACCTGGTTACATTAGGTTAGGTTAAGGTAGCGTTTGGTTAGGTTATGATACGCTAGGAGTTTATTTTTCAGGTGAATTCGTGTTTTTTTTTTATTTTTTTTTAGAGTTCGTGTTTCATTTTTTTTTTTCTTTAGATGTAGAGTTAGTGGTGGTTGGATATGTGGCCATTTCCGGGTGTGGCGGGGCGCTTGAGGGAGGAGGAAGCACTTGACCACAACAGTACTGTAAATAGATGAGCGTAGTGGGGGTGAGGAGGGTGATGCTATAATGGTGGCGCGGGGGTAATTATACCACACACACACACACACGCACACACACACGCACACACCTTATTGCAACATACACTTTTCTACAAAGCACATACCCTGTTGCAAGACTAACCTTATTGCAACACCTACATACTCATACACAACACCTACACGCTCATACACAACACCTACACGCTCATACACAACACCTACATGCTCATACACAACACCTACATGCTCATACACAACACCTACACGCTCATACACAACACCTACACGCTCATACACACACCCACATGCTACACAACACCTACATGCCATACAACACCTACACGCTCATACACAACACCTACACGCTCATACACACCTACATGCCTACCTACATGCTCATACACACAACACCTACATGCTCATACACAACACCTACACGCTCATACACAACACCTACATGCTCATACACAACACCTACACGCTCATACACAACACCTACACGCTCATACACAACACCTACACGCTCATACACAACACCTACACGCTCATACACAACACCTACACGCTCATACACAACACCTACACGCTCACACACACACACACACACACTACCTTCATCACTGCTGGAAGATGTGAGTCATTTCCTTTCTACGTATATGCGGTGTGAGTCTCCCAAGGCTAAATGTATGCCTAGTTTGATAGAAATTGTCCAAACTGTTGTAGAGATGTTCCTTGAGGTCAGACAATCAGCTGAGTGAGAGGGTGATCACTTAGCCTGACGGACCAAGTGAACTTATTGAACTAAAGCTGACTCACTGACGGACCCCTGTGGATGTTATTGAGTTATACAGGTAAATTTACCACACACCTGGACGCTATCATGTTGTGTGGCTAATTTTAAGTGGAGAGGAAGGTGAGGTTAACTTCTCTCACCTCTTATATCCCACCTTCCCTCCCCCTCCCCCTCCCTCTCAATTATTCCTCTCTCTCTCTCTCTCTCTCTCACTTTCCTTCCCAATTCACTGTCCCTCACTCTCTTCCTCTTAATGTCCCTCCCAGGCCAAGGTAGGGAGACAACAGTAACAACCAGGAGGGATAAAAGGGAGGGAGGGAGGAGAGGAGAAGGGGGCCTCAGTACTTGGCTTTGGTGAGGGGGCCAACACAAGAGGGTGAGGGCTGGATAGGGCAGATTATAGGGCCACGCTGACCTCCCTCCCTCACCCTGTACCCTGCACCATCTGCAGGTTAGTAATGTACCCTAGCTAGCAATCCCGCTCTCCTCCTAGTACCTGTTTGAAAGTATACTAACGAATCGACGAAAATAAATAGACATGTAATAGCAAGTAACACAAATAAACATATTGTACTAGCCTCTGTTGGTAAGTGGTAACAGATATAGAAACATACTAACAGTTATAAGTCAGTTAGCACGAAACAGTCATTAGTTAAGGTGTAATCGATAAATATTGTGCTTGCCAATGGTGGAACAATCTTAAGTGGTTGAGTGTATTTGTGCTTGCTTTTGTGTGTGTGTGTGTGTGTGTGTGTGTGTGTGTGTGTGTGTGTGTCCTCACCGTAAGAAACTGGGAACACACACACACACACGCACATCATTACCACCGCTGTATACATTATTAATACAGCTATTATTAATATGTATATTCCAGGAAATTAATAACCGTCGCAATTGGCTAACAGTCTTAAAGAGGCCGTGGTTGTTATTGTGAATTAATTATACCTGGCGAGTGGTTGCGTGACGTGATTTCATTGTTATTTATATAATGTTATTTTCTGTGATTATTAAGACTGATAAGATATGGTTTTATTTTTAATCAGTTTTATTATTTTGAGGTATAATTTGTTTTAATATGAATATTAATGTATTTTCTTATTTTTCTTTTAATTGTTTTCATAGATATTCCTATACATTATGCACGTAGTTTATTATTATTATACAATATAAACTTAATTAACTATTCATATTACATAAGTTGTCAATGTAAGTTTATTTCACTGATAAATCTTCGTGTGTGTGTATGTGTGTGTGTGGTGTGTGTGTGTGTGTGTATGTGTGTGTGGTGTGTGTGTGTGTGTGTGTGTGTGTGATGGAGACGATAATACCCCTCTCACCCCCACCCCATCATCCTTCCTCCACCTCCTCCTTCCCCGCCTCCCTAGCCATCTCCCTCCTAATCCCCCTTCCTCCCCATCTCCCTCTCCTCTCTCCCCAGCAGGACTTACCCTGTCAGTAGTACACGAGTGAGGGAGGTAATGTGTGCTGGGCCGCTGTCTGTCGGTGGCTGTTCTACTCTTGTTGTCTGAAGGCACCAACAACACTCATCTCTAGGCGGTCTCCTCTGCTGGTCTCCACTATATCGGTCTCCACTCTATCGGTCTCCACACAACTGATCTCTCTGTCGGTCTTCAACACCGTCCATGACTTTAAGATCCAAAGCGGAAATAATCCCAACTAAAATCGTGTTGCTTTATCGAGAACTTGACTGTTTTATTATTATTATTATTATTATTATTATTATTATTATTATTATTATTACGGATTTCTCGTCTAGGCATCACGTGCGCCTGAGGAGCAACTTAGCTTCTTTCTAACGCACCTTTAAGCTTATCTGTTTTAATATACCTCAGGTTCTGTTTACATTTCACTTCCTAATTATTTTTTTAAGGTGTATTTAGTTGTTGTTCTTTCGTAGTTCTTCCCAGCGACACCTCACTGTTTTAGGTCACTGCGGAACACTATGTATTTAGGGTAAACACTTTTTTAAGTTTGCGCGGGAACGGAGGTGTGGCGGTGTTGATCCTCTCCGTGTGGTGGTTGAGGTCTGTCTGAACCCACTGGCCTGGGCCAACTCACTGGGGCTGGACCGAAAGGAACCCAGAAGCCAACTGACTCCAAACAAGACCCATTTTCTTCATTTGGCTGTGTTTGGCGATGCCCGTTTTCTGTGATGGAGGTTGGGAGTTGATTCATAAAAACGGAGGTATTCATGTGTGTGTATATAGCCAGGAGTACTCATGCGGCCTCCTCCCTCATGTTTATATACCTTTAAAACTTCTCTTAAGACAACGTGGCGGCTAGTCTAAGCGGGAGAATGTTCAGTATTATGGTTATAAAGTGATTGCGTATGTATGTATGTGTGCCTCTATTATAACTAACTTCCTACTAAAACCACTACTTTAATGTTTTATATAACCATGAGAGAACATCTTCAATGGAAGTTTTGTTTTTCCTGTATAAGTGAAGTATTAAGGAGTCAGCATCTTATAAGTAAAACACGGAATTACAAGTCTTTATAGTCTTGTAGTCTGGCAGCTGTCTTCCCTAAACATTCGTCTACCAGCCGTCACATCGTCAGCCTGATGAACAGCTCAGAGGGACGGAGTGGAGGGAGCTAGGGGTAGTGACTTAGATATCAGCTGATTGTTTTCAGGTCTGCTACCAGCGTTTAGGTTGCCAATATTAGTCCACTGTGGTCGGTGGCTGGCCAGCGGGTGCGCAAGCGCTCTCCACAAACTGCTGTTCATTTATTGGCGCCCCGCTCATCTTGCGAACATATTATTTTTGTTACAATGTGATTCTTATATACTGATAAATTTATCACAAATTTTAGTGCCACTTTTTTATATTGGACTGATTAAGCTGTATGACAGTAGTGTTATATTGGCGTTTATAACCGTAGTGTGATGTAGCACTGCAACACACACACACACAAGACAACCTGAGGCGCCCACAGCACAACAGTACAGAAGAACAGCTCATCCACCAATGATAAAACTTGGCGGGAGAAATCTTAAGGTTGTGAGTGGCTGCCAGAAATGACGTCAGAGTGATATTGATTACGAGGGGTAGAGGGGCCAGTGAATGGTGTGTACGAGCGATCCCTGTACGACGATATTGATCCCAGAGTCCCCAGAAAATAAATACCTCGGTAATACAAGCTCCCATATACGTGTTATGCTCATAATACAACAATATTAAAATAAGGAGTTACACACTACTAAAATATTATACAGTTACTGGAGTGTAAAGGCGCAAAACCTGCCAGTAACTGTGAGAGATTAGTGACTTCTTTTCCAGACTCAGAATTTGCGGACGCTGCAGAACTGCTGCAGTAGATGGCAGAGTTGCCAAAACAGAAAGTCGGACGCCTTCCCCGCGGCCGCCAGGTGTCCAGCATGCAACCTGAGGATGTGACCAGTCTACCGCACCCCCTGGATGTTGCTCAACCACAAGGTAGGTTCCTCCCTGTGTCCGTAGGAGTGTGGCGGTGTGTGTAGGATGGACAAGTAGTCAGTTGCCCTTCTTGTGGCTTGTGAGGAGTACAAACGTATTGTTTTGTTTCTCAGTAATTTACAGAAGAGATGTCAGGGAACAGTCAGTCTGGAGGCTGTAATGTTGCAAGTACATTTATTAGTGGTGCACAACGATATATCAGATAATGCTATTCTTTTGGCGTAAAAAGACGCTTTTGACGCGTTTATATAGTGTGTGTGTGTATATATATATATATATATATATATATATATATATATATATATATATATATATATATATATATATATATATATATATATATATATACAGTATATTACAGACAATACAGTGATGAGTGACGTACAAATATCATGTATGGAGTCAGTGATCGGTAAGTCATTAACATAAATCAACGTGCCGGGACGCGAGGCCACATGCTAGGTGTAACGAGCACGGCTCAGTCACCACCAGACTCCCGCACCTGCAGGTGGTCATTAACACTCACTGTGTATATAGGAATATTAATTACAAATATTATATTTGTAAGTAGATGGTGTCGGGAAGTATTATAACAATATTTTCTTATTAATGGACGTTATTAAGCTGTGCATGAATTGATTAAGTGATCTGAGCTTAATGACTTGACCTGTTGTCGCACGTAATGTTAGTACTGTACAATATAACCCAGGTGGCAAGGGTGTCATCATGGTGTTGCCTTAACCTAGATATTATTAACGTCAGATTTATTAAACTGTAACGAAGACGATTATGTCGTCTTGCTGGGTACTGGTGTGTATGTAAGAGTAATAATAATAATGATAACTAATGGTTTCTTGACAAATACAGCAGTCATAAGCTGAAAATACCCTAAGGACATAAGTGGCGTTTAATAAAAAAAATTTGGTGCATTTGCAGCACAAAAAGTACAAAAGGCAAGGAGTGAAAACACAAGCTATATATGAAGCGTTGAAGATTTGTACATTGGTTGGAGTGGGGCTGTTATTGTAGCTATCAGTACGAGGTCGTAGAGGCTGGATGCGGTTATGCAGTGGTATAGCACTTCGCGGATGAGGGACCTTAGGTGGTAGCGAGTGCCGGTGGCGAGGATGGTGTGGCACCTTTGTTCAAGACTGACAAATGAGGTCACGCTGATAATCAGATAAAGTTGAGAGGGCCAGTGTACTTAGCGCCTCTTGGTGTGTGGTATAAGAGAAGAGAATAATCCTGAGCGTTTTAAAAAAGTCCTGGTTGGTTAAGAGTTGAGAAAGAAGACCAAGCAGGGGAAGCGAAGGTGAGTTTAGGAACTAAGAAGATTGTGAAAATATTATTGAGCTCAGACGCAGGAAATCCAAGGGTCTTGAAGATGTGGAGACGATAGCTGAAGGATTTGACGATTGTACTGACGTGTGCTTGCCAGCTCAGTTTGTCATCTATATTGACGTCTAGGTGCTTGCGTGTGGTATGTGCGTGAGACTCAGTGAGGAGGCTTATGAATACCGATCCGGCAGTTGGTAACTTTAGTCAGGAACCTCATTTTTATTGCACCGGTCAAGTGTTCTCCTGAAAGGCCTCCAGTGGTCTGTCGGCGGTGTGGAGGACACTAGAGGTGGTGGGGGGGGGGGAACCCTAGTGGTTGAGAACACAAGTAGAGGTGGGTGGAGGAGGTGGGCGGTGAGTGCACTATGCCAGTGAGCATCTGGCTTGAGTCCTGTCGATGGTCAGGGTCTCGCGCTCTTAAGAACAGTGTCTATGTAACCCCCTAACCCCTTTCGTGTGTTAGTGGGATATATTTCACGGGTTAGGTTTTTGTTTTATATTTTATTTTATGTGTTTAGAGCTTTAAGTGAAGAATTAATATCGAGAAAAGCGTGATTCAGTCTTTTCCCCGGTTTGTCGTATGGAATAGCAAGGGAGACTTTTCAATATCTGAAATCTCGTTTATTCATCTCATCCCACTGCTGTGAGGGGTTGATCAAGGGGTATAGAGACCTCGAAGAAAGGAAGGAAATAAAAGGGAGTGTGGTGAAAGACAGCCGTTAGAAAGTTACAAGGAAGAGAGGTAAGAAAATAAATAGAAATAAACCACATATACTATACTTGTCCATAACCTAACCGAACATCTACACAGATTCTCACCTATCATTAAGTTGAGTCGTCACGTATCAAAATTCTCACCTCTAGATCTTCCTGATTTCGCTACAGATTGAAGGTGGCGACACAGTGCTGCTCGAGAGGTCAAGGCCATGTGTTTGTGTGAGGCGCCTCCCGGGTTCATTACGACCATCTCGGCTGGTGGAGTTGACGTACCTGGCCCCTGATAGTATGTCAATACTTATGATGAATATTCCTCGTTAATAAACTTTTAAGAATGTACCTGATTGGCTTAAACTCAGGCATAAAAATAATATCCATATAAAATATAAGAATTAAACTTATACTATACTGTATACTAAATACATGTACGCTCGCTTAATAGTAGACAAAAAATTAACGTGCGGAATATCTAGTAATATTATCCGCCTTAGGGTGAAAGTTATTAACTCACTCCTGCCTGGTGACTAACATACGAGTGCTGTTAGAGGAAGCGGGTTGACCATAAAGTCGCCCCAGGAAGGAATATTTTCTTGGCCGCCAGACAACGACCAACGTTCCACGCGAGGATGTAAACATTTCAGAAAAACACGATTTTACAATTTTCTGCGGGTACTTAACTGAAATCGATATATCCATTCTGGCTATGTGCTCCAAATGTTATGGACGTGTGTACCCTCTTTACTATTATGTCATTATAATTTATTCGTGATTATATAATTCTTGACGACCTATTTATAATATATTAAGGTATATACCGTGCGTAATTCTTGTCAATGAAATCCATATATCATACATCTTAGAAGAAAATGTTGTTACACAAAAATGTAATTGGATGTTTTCGAAGATCTATTATGTATAAGCTGTTTAAAAAGTCCAAGTGCACTTTTAAACTTCAATAACTTTATCTACACATATGGTAGAAACAATTTATTAATGAAATATATAAAATAAATGTAATATTTTTAGTACAATTCATTCGTATATTTTCTAGCTCACAGCAAAACCACTATTTTATTATGATGTCAGGCCGCACCTCGATTATGCTGTTCAGTTCTGGTGCCCTTATTATAGAATGGATATCAATTCACTAGAGTCGGTGCAGCGAAGAATGACGAAAATGATTCCGGGACTTAGAAACCTTCCATATCAGGATAGGTTAAAGAAACTAAACTTGCATTCCCTAGAAAGAAGAAGAGTGCAGGGAGATATGATAGAAGTATTTAAGTGGATGAAAGGAATCAGTAAAGGGGATATAGATAAAGTTCTTATAATATCCGAGCAGGATAGGACTCGGAGCAACGGATTTAAGTTGGATAAGTTTAGGTTTAGGAAGGAGATAGGAAGGAACTGGTTCACAAATAGGGTGGTGGACGAGTGGAACAAGCTTAGCAACTTTGTAGTAAGTGCTGGAACGCTTGAAAGTTTCAAAAGGAGGCTGGATAGATTCATGGATGATAGAGAGTGGTAATAACTCTCGACAGGAGCTGCCATGCACAGGCCAACCGGCCTATTGCAGACTCCTTATTTTCTTATGTTCTTATGAGACAGGCTGTAAGACCAGTAAGTGAAACGCGGTGGGGAGTATCCGTAGAATTTATGTTGTGTTGTACAGTATAGAGCAGGGGTTCTCAACCAGGGGGGGAATTCCCCCCAGGGGGGGAATTCAAGTTTTCAGGGGCGGGGAAAACTGATTCGGGAGCAAGAGATATGTTCGATGAGAAATCTATCACAGAATTTTGGCCCTTGATGTGTGCTTCCTACCCAAAAGTGGCAGAAAGAGCTATCCGTGCATTGCTTCCGTTTGTGTCGACATATCTTTGTGAGTCAGGCTTTTCAACTCTGTTGCAAATTAAAACGAAGCAACGTAGTAGATTAGAGGTAGAAAATGACCTGCGTTGTGCCCTTTCAAGCACTCCTCCGCGTATCCCAAAATTGGCGAAGAAAAAACAATCACAGGTTTCTCATTGACTGTAATCTTCATCTGAATAAAATTAATTACAAATTTACAATATCCTGGTATTCTATTGAACTTTTGTTTATTGCATTATGCTTCAGTTTGGTCTGTTAAGTAATTCATTATAAATAAAAAAAAAACTATTTTACTTTTATTCAAGTTTTATAAATCCATCAACATTTTCAATTGGCATTTAATTTGTAAAACTCCACTATAAAAATAATCCATGTAAAATTGCAAATGTATATGTACTAATATGGAAAAAATAAAGGATTTTCAGTATTGTATGCATATTATTTGGAATGCACTTTTTGAGGCAGACAATCTTGGAAAGGAGGGGGGAATGACATTCTGACATATGGTGAAAGGGGTGCATGGGGCAAACAAGGTTGAGAACCACTGGTATAGAGATTTCCATATACTGTACTTGCTATTTATTTTTGCTCTCTCTCTTAAAAAAATCTAAATTTGCCTTTTATAAACCATTTACAGATTATTTCTACCAATGTGTATACAAAGTTATTAAAGCTTAAAAGTGCATACGGATTTTGTAAGCAGCTTGACCTTGAGTCCTAGATGCACGAGGGATACACACGATGTATATTTCTCATAAAGACTTCATCATGTAAATCTTCATCATAAACTAAATCTTTTATTAATCTAGACTCAGAAACATTCGAGTGAGGAAGAATTGATTTAAAAGTAATGGTGTAACATCCCATCAAGACGATGTATATAGGAAACTTTATATCTCGCTAGAAAACTTTGACTCCCGCTATAGTTGTTGTGTCCACTTTATTATCGATTTATTATTGATTGTCCTTCTGCATCTCTAGCCTAGCTCAGTGTAGCAGTATATCCCTTCCACCATGACTACCACCCACTACTATTACCAGTATTATGATTACAACTACCACCGCTACCATCACCATCACTACCTCTCTGCCAACACCTTGGTTACTACTACTACCATCACTACCACCACCACGTCTATCACCTCCTCCACCACCATGACTACCACCATCACCTCCATAACTTCTACCACAAACACCGCCGCTACACTTGACCATCTCATAACAAAAGTAATAGCTGTATATTTAAAAAAGCGTCAAATATATCTGTGTTGAAACGTTTGTTAGAGTAACCCCTTAAAATTTTTAAAAGAAAACGTCAACTACTCAACGTTTACAAACAAAACGTTGACAGAACATTTTTTAAAGCGTTTATTGCGGTGATTGTTATTGATTTGAAGAGAAAGTGTTAACAAATCTTACTTCAAACATTTGGTAATTAATTCATATCATTTTAAAGTGTAAGAGACACAGTTGATTTATCGAATTCTTTGTTTTTTGGTGGTTTTATGTTATCACTTGTCACTTAAGTTTAATTTAGTAATTTACATACTTAACCCCATGAACTTTGTCGCCACTATCATCCCATGACCATGACCTCACATCCCCCCCCCACCCCCCCCCCATGATGGTGTGAAGAGGAGGGCGCCATGCAACAGTAGGCATGATAGTGTTACGGGTTATTGATCAAGGTGTTGAGTGGTCCGCTGCCTCCTGCCTCCAGGTGTGTGGGGGGGGGGGTCCCAGGCACTCAGCTGCACGCCCACATAATTACATCTACATGCACGCACACATACAAGCACATTATGCAAGCATTAATATACATGAACGCACACGCTCACCCATGTGTACATTATTATACCAAATTTATGTAATATTTGTTTATTATTACTCTATTTGTATTGGTACAGGCGGTGGCGGGTGGTGAGAGTGGAGATAGATGGTGGGCGTGTGGGGGGTCGCTACCCGGCATGGTGTGGACCCGAGCGTGGCGGCGGTGGCAGCGGTGGGCGTGTGTAGGAGCGGCGGTGGTAGTGGGAGCCTGGTTGCTCCTAGCCGCGCCCTGTGCCCTGCTAGCCTGCCCTCCACAAGACTCTGTGGATACCCCCTCTGAAACCACCGACGAGCCCCGCCAAGATATCGATGCTGCCTACCTCCTGTGCTCCACCTTGACCTTCGTGCCCTCAGGCCGCAAACAAGAACTTCGGAATTCCCCCCAGTTGGGTAATGGCAGCCCCTACAGTGTGGTGTATGACTGGGTACCTGCCGCTCGCACGTTCACTGTTAATGAGTCGGTGACCTACACAACACACACGACGCCTGAGATGATCAGCCATGTAGGGGAACTTGCTACTCGCTGGGCAGGACCTCTCTCTGTTGCACTCTTTGTCCCTCATTCAGACTTCTGCTTAGCTGCAGCACGAGTGGCCCGTCTTCGTGTGTGTGGCCCTCCTGCTGTGAAGGAGCTGGTCTCGTGGCACCTGTTCTGGCCCCGTGATGTACCTCCTGCCGCTGACTGGCACCTGAAACTGAAGGAAGACACCTTTGACTGTAGTGAAGACAAAACTGCGTTAGTGCGTGGGTACCGTACAGCAGAAGGCCTTCCATACCCAGTAAATGTTGCTCGTAACGTGGCACGATCGGCAGCCCCCACAGTGTTTGTTCTACCATCTGATGTGGAACTTTATCCATCAGAAGGCTTAGTGGAACAGTTCTTGGGGTTGATCCAACGGATAAATTCAGGGAAGGAGACAAGAGTGTCAAATCTGTCACCCCGGGTGTTTGTGGTGCCAGTGTTTGAGGTGGCCTCAGTAGTGCCAACCAGTAAGGAGGAACTGGTGCAGCAGTACCAACAGAATGACGCTGTCTACTTCCACCGCCATGTATGTGCTCACTGCCAACGATTCCCTGCACTCTCAGATTGGATACGTCAGCTTGGCACTCCAGGTACTCTGAAGGTATGTCACTCCACCTCTTACGAGTTCACTTACTTATCACCGCAGTTCTCCGGCTAGTACAGTAAAATGTTCCTTCATTATTACTACTACTGTACAACTACATCTTTATTTTATAACTAACGTAATGGGTCCGGCGACTCATACAGTTTTGATGCCGAGATTTAAAAAGTAAAGCTTTTTTATAAATATGAGAACTGTAAGCAGTAAATAGTCATGAACTCTTGACTGAGAGAATCCTTGAATCAGACCAGATAAGGTTGAAGGTATACCTCAAAAGATATTCCAGTAGAGGCTGTAAATTTTGCTCACGTGGTAACTAAAGAGGAAGGGAAGAAGAAGATTGAAGGTTGAAAAGATAAAGAGAAGGGAAGGAAAAATGTGTTTTTATAAGTCAGAGAGTAAGTAAGTGGGAGAGTCTAAGGGCTTCACGGCATCAGTGTTTTCACCTGGATCAGCCGCAGAAATTAGTGTACAGTACTCAGGGTTTTCAAGGACAGTTTCATGAATCATTGCTCTTATTAGTCTATTCCAGGATACTTCAAGGTCAGTTTTGGCCATATGTATGTAGTCTGATGCAACCTTGGTTAGTTCATGTATTGGGTGTGTCTCTTCAGTCAATAAAAGTACTGTCTTCATAACTAAGGGTTGGCGACCACAGTCCTCCACTCTAAACGTTCTCTGGCCTTTTTGTTTACGAATCTTCTTAAAGGTGTAATACTGTATTGTACTACAGTTGGTGATGTTTTGTAAAGTTTTTGCAGCTCCACTCGAGACATTTTTTTCGTCGGGAGTCTTTTGTTTAAGTATAAAAGTGTTTCTCTTTTACGGAGAATGATTTATAAGTATTCCATTTTGATATACTGTACCGTACTCATGTTCCAAAACAGTTGGTGAAATAAGCAATTATTATGCCCTTACTGTTCACAATGCATAACGTGATTACAAGGCATTCAAGTAAGTGTCATCTGATGGATGTTCTGGCACACAGGCCTTCTCAGTGGTAAAGCGACAGTTCCCTTACCACCGGTGGGAACCTATCTACATCTGCACCAAAGATGAGCCTCTCTATGATGAACGTCTCTCCTGGGAGGGCTTACAAGACAAAATGACACAGGTATAGTATATGTTGCCTTCTGAAGATTATCCAGTTATTTTATACACTACAGTACTATATACTCTGGTGAATTTATGCGGATATAAATTAATATAAGACCACTATAATTGGTTAAGTGTCTGGAATCAACCATTCTTCCATCTTAATAATTGAATATAACCCCATTATATTTTTTTTAAAGGCCACAGTAAATCTGTCTTAATTTTTCCATCAGTACATTTCCAGCCTGAGAGGATGTTCAGTATATTTACCATCATCAAGTTTTTCACTCACTGTCTCCAGTCTCACAATATTCGTGTTCAGTCCAGTACCATGCAACTGGCCATCTCCATATGAAGAGATCCATGTTTACTGTACAACCTACTCCCGTCAGTACTGTACAGTATGCTTTGCTGATGGCTGGCCTCTCTCCCTAACCAACCACTTGTGTAACCTTCCCTATTGATTTGTGTCTCAGTTTAGGTAAAAAGAAAACACTTTTACTTCACCTCACTCATAACTTTAAGTATTGATGTTTATTGGCTTGTACTGTATTACATTTTATAAATGAAATCTTTGTGATAAAACGTGAACACTAACAGTGGGAAAAGCTGTGAGTGAAGGAAGCAGGTGACATTGTTAGTACTGCACTGTACTGTATGCCTCAGTACGTGCACTCTAGACGTTTTCAATGTGATTATCACAATTTGCTGTAAATGTCTGTACTTAACAATTGTTTTATTGTGTGTCTCACCTCAACAGATGCATGAATTATGTCTCAGGGGATACAATCTGGTAATCCTGGATAGAGCGTTCCTCGTCCACGCTCCGGGAATCAAGAGAAGGAATAAGAATAAGGCTAAAGACGATGCCTGGAGGGATCCATTTGTTGCCAAGAATTCCAAAATCTATGACCAGATCATGGAAGAAATGCAAAATAAATTCGGGCCAAGTGATAAATGCCGTCGTCACTGACCAGACCAGTGATGATAAATTATTAACACAAAGAGACGTAACCAGTGTATTGTAATATCAGTGACATAATATAAATGTTTTGACAATGAAACATAACCTTTTCCATGTGAATATAATACAGTCTTTGGTGTTAACTGAAAAGTCACTATTTTTCCACTAAGTGTGATGAAATTGATGCGGGTAACAGAGGTGCTTATTGTAGGGCATTGTGAAGCTTCTTCCCCAGGTTGTGGGTATCATTGCTCCTTCTGGATTATTTGTTCTTTCATGTTGTAACTTTTGATGGCCTCTTGATTTTTCCTGGCTGTGGTGAGGAGCTTTTTGCTAGTGCGAGGTAAACCACTTCATTATGTTGCAAATATTTTATTGGGGGTTTTCGCTACAACCACCGAGTTAGCTCTATTCTACTACTGTATAACCATTTGGAAGCTTGGAATTTACACGATTTATTTTTTTATTTGTTTATCTGTTAAATGAGTTACACGTCTTAGATACATTTTGTTTAATCTTCTATAACTGTAGTTTTATACTTACTGTATATGATTTTTTGCCCTTTATTTTCAATTATTTAATTTTGAATAGACTTATAAGATGTGGTGAAGACTTTTATTTTAAATTAATTGGGGTTGAAGGAAACTTACTTCTATTGAAAGTCATGTACTGTATATCTTTCTCAAAACTGCACGCCTCTCTTTGCCGTGATGCAAGGTGGCCAAACATGAACTAATACTCTGATTCTTAGCATCCAGCAGCTAGTGGTTTACTCCACCCACCTGGTTGGATGCAACGCCACGAAAGTATTGTTCTACCATCGGTAAGCGCACAAAATAATTGACTAATTTTCGTGCTGAATGTACAAGGGTTGGTGACTATTTGCTTTGGTTAGCACATGCTGGACAATCAAGAAGAATGTATGAATTTTATAATACTACAGAGCACTGCTGACACTTTTGTGGAGCCTAAGAAAATAAAACAAAATCACAAATCTCAATACTATAAGACTGCTGAGAAAAAGAGCTTAAAAAAAGATAAATTTTTGTCAGGATTCACCTCAGAGTTGAAAGATAATCATTCTGCATTCTTTGCTAATCATTGTTGCTGTAAGATTCCTTGAAACACTGAATGGAAATCTTACCATAATATTTTAAGATACAGGAGCCTATTAAAATATGAAAACTCGAAAAGGGCTTTCAGTAAATGTTAGAGAATGTGAAGTTTTTTTGGTTATAAGTAAATCTGATGATGGTGCTGTAGACACGTATTTTAAAATGATAGTCACTGAGAGAGTTGATTCATGACCAAGGGATTTTGTCTGTGCCATTTGATACTTAAACTATTAAGCACAAGTCACTTTCTTGTACGTTGTCATATTTGGTTGTGTAAACATTAAGTCAAACAGAGACCTCTTAGCTTATTTTTAATTGGATTGAATGCTCTGTTTCTTGTTGGTAGCCCTCTAGAATCCTAGCCTATGAGACACGAGGTCAGTACTGTGGTCAGACAAGGTAGATGGGGTATTATTTTGCTGGATTTTGCACTGAGTTGGCCACCGACCACATCATTACTGTATACCGCACTAACTCGTGAAGTCTGGGGGGAGGGGGGGGGGGCACAGCACATATTTTAGGAATTTTAAACTATCTGCCTCAACTGTAAAAAAGAATGTCAGGGTTGATGAAATTGTGAAACTCTGTTTTCCTTTCATAATACTGAGCTGTGACTATTAACTTCTGGGATGCCATTATTAACTTCACGTAATGGACAATATTTCTTACTGACATTAATTTTCAGCTTTTCTCTTGTTCCTAACACATGCAGTCCAGTCGTCTTTGTACCTGTGATTCATGATATTACACTACAGGGTATCTAAAATGTTGGAATGAATTCCTTATTTCAATTAAAAGCTTTTCTGGGGGTACTGCAAGTTTGTTGTTCAGGTTACATGTTGAATACATTGTACTGTACCTGTAATTGGAAGTATGACCAGAAAGCAAAATATTTTTCAATTTTCTTCAACTACTGAACTTTTTTAACCAACTGATGTCTGATATAAGATACAATGTTGGTTTATAAGATATATACAGTACTACGGCATCGGAGTTTTAAATTTTGAGAGGGGGGGAAGTATACAGTACGGTACGGTATATGGTTACTCCACACTCTTATATTTCTCTTAAACTTTCTCAAGAAAAAGAACAATTGTTGTACTATGTATCATCCTTTTCCAGATGCATCTAAACAGATTTATTGAGTTGTATGTTAAGTTTATTTAATCAAAAGTTTCTTATTACAGTTGATTATGCCTCTATAATTATTGTTAAACTTAAAATAATTACTAACTCTTACCTACTTACAATATATACTGTATTTTTCTCGTAATACATACAGTACAGGATTATCTATGTGTTAGTACTGTACCTTGGTCAGTCATCGATGCCCTTCACGCTCTATCGTTGGATGAATACAACAATTGTTTTTGTTCTTCATAATCACTTCTTTATTTGTACCTCCAGATATCGTTCCCCCAAGTGCTCTTTTCATAATTATTTAATAATAGTTGGGATAGTTTATGGATTGCATTAGTTGTGGTTTACATAACAGTAGGATAAATTGATCTGGGATTTACCGGTAATAAGAGGATCGTGTCGTGGCTGTTACATATGTACATGTAAGTTGTTCCTACAGCACCTGTAATATGATCAGGGGAGCATAACAATGATGTTTTCAAAGTTATTATATACTGTAATCATATTATTATCAATATACATTTGGGAAATGAACCTTAGGATCTTCCAGTTTTTCTCATTAAAATCACTTTATAGGAGACAAAAGAGAGTGCACTAAAGTACAGTGCATTATAGTACTGTATTACTGTGTTTCAGATAAATGTGCAAATACAGCAATTGTATAACTAAAAGTTTTATCGTCCAGTAACTTCTCCATCACGTTTCTTCCAGGGTTTTTGTTTATACGTTTACACCATCATGTGTACATAAAAAAATAACTAAAATATATACCGATATATTGCAATAAAACCTCCCAGGTAGCAAACTCTGTTGAACAGATACCTCCCATTAGCTAATGGGCTTCAATCTGGTAATGGGGGAACTATCAAGAATGATATCCACTTTTGGAAGATCTTTTCTCGTGTATCATATTTTCCGTGCAGTCAGGCATGTGTCTCATCATTATAGTCTGTTATCGATGTCTGTTAATGGGAACCATAAGAATACAGTATTCATTTGAGAACTTTTCTGATCTCAAAAATTAAAATTTTCATACATTTAGTTTTCTTGTGAGCTTGTGGGTAAGCGATGCACACTAACTGAGAAAGTTTTGTTACACTATGCTCACACTGATTGGTTCACCATACAAGGAGACCCAAGACTGGTTCCCCATTGTTAAAACAATTTCACTCAGAAAATTCATGGGCCTTTACTGTGATTTTCACAAAAATTCTGTGCTAGTGAGAACCAGTAAAGAACTCATTGTGTTGTGATTTTGCCAAACACTCATCTAAAATAGTGCCACATTAGGGATGGTCATCTCGGAAGGCTACAAACTGCCGATCCGGGAAAAGGAAAACGGTGACTGTCATAGCACTTGATCACCATGACTTACAGTGAGGTAATGTACCAGCTGTAGACTGTGCTTGTATTATACGACCAACCATTATGACAATATTTTCCTCTTATACTGTACTGTTTTTGTGTCAATTTAAAGCAGATGACTTTTTACAATGCATATTATTCAATTTTCGTTGTCCCACACTCCCTGAAAAATTTGACCTTTATTTAAAGAAAAAAACATTTCGGACACCTCACTGTATCAATTATTCCACTACGGTATTTAGAGGTCGCATTTAATATGGAGAGTAAATTTGAAATTTTCATTAATAAAGTAGGGAAAAGTTGAAAGTTGCCGTATTATGTTTAAGTGGAATTGAATTGTTTAGTAAATACCTGTACAGTACTGCATCCCATTTTCTGTAAGGTAATCATGCTAATATTTTAAACTATAGGGTGACTAAAATGTCAGGAGTCAGTAGAAACTGTAGCTATCAATTAGGGATGATGACCACCTCTAAGAGTGCATTACACAGGTCGCTCGATCCATCAATGGTTTATCACCTACAAACTTGTTATGAGCGTGGTGGTGGTACTTGCTAATATGACATAAAATAACATTGATTCCTGACTTTTAAGGCACCTTGTTTTTCTTTATGTAAGTATGGCAATATATGTCATAGATTGTTTACATTCCAGTTGTAACTACATTGTCAAGCCACTCTGAAAATATCCGTTGTCTACCGAGTTTTTCCCATACAGTCTGCAGAGAAAAACCATAGCCGATTCTTTCGCTATCTTAGTTTGATTATTATTATTATTTATTTACCTGTGGAGACATTGTTTTCCTTCACATTTTGAAGATCAAGTTAGTGTAAGAGTAATGCCGTCATTGTCATTGCTTTGTACTGTACTTGAATGTCAGGAATGCTTTATAGCGGGCTTATTACTGATACCTTCCACACTTACATATCATTGATACTAGTGGTGCAAGCATTTTGTGTCTGCTTTGGCTGAGGCATGGCACTAATGTGGATTAAGTACTGTCCCTGTATTGCTGCTCCCCACCTTCATTGTGATGGAGATCTATTTGTGCTCAGTCTTTGAAATCCAAGATACGCTACTCGAGCATATACTGTATTTGCTGGTATGTGATGGTTATTGGGTGTTTTCTCTGATTTTTTTTTCAATTTCCTTCTTATAATCCCCTTGAATGTGAGTAGACTAGAGGCTTCCATTTTGACTCTGTGCCATTTGTTATTGTCCACATTCCTGACATAAACACCTGTTTCTACTCTTAGTAGGCCTAGTGTATGTCTAAATTGATAGCATTAGAAGTGGAGTGCAGGACATTCTAATGCTCAAATACTCTCACAAATTTTTCTAACCAAAAAGTTTGCTCGTGTCCATCAAGAATGCCATCTTGATAAAATGAAAACTTAATTATGCCTTTCATATGCATCTCCATAAATCAAGATTCGTTAAAATCTACACTCTTCTGCAACTACTGTACATTCATTTTACAAGTAAGATTAATCCAGGTACATGCCAGAAACATTCTTTTATTTCATGTTGAGAAATTACACAAGATTTGTTATACAGTATATTGGTTTCACAGATAAACTTTTGCAGTGTTACCGTATCTGCATCATTGGATCAAATAACTCCATTGTTGAAGCATATTTATTCAAAAATGTTTCCTGCCTGTAACAAAATAAGACTAAAGTTATCCAAATTACCCCTAAAAGTTAACCAAGAATATTAAAATTTTTCCTTACTTCATCTTTCCTTATAGGATGTAAAGGGCACACTGCAATATACAGTATACAATTTCTTTTCCCGACAGGAAGATCTGCATGCATTTTCTAACCACCGAAGTAGAATATTGTTAATTTATATATGTTATTGTTAATGTTCTCTATTTAAGATTGTAGTAATCCAAGCAAGTTACTGTGTTCCCCACCACCAGTTCCTAGAGCCATGGCATTCTTCTCAGTCTTTAGTTATTGTTGATAAAAAGAATGCTGTTGACAATACGGTTAGGTATGGATGGTATTGGTTGTGTTAAGCGAAGAGTATATTTTACATTAATGCTTAATCAGAACCTCTCATTGCCATTATATCATTCTCTTTCATTTTAAACCTTCAAGCTGTTAATCACTTGAACATTTGACCATATGAAGCTGAAGTAGGTGTGATTATAAATTTTGACTTCATTATTTGGGGTGTGGCGGCCGAGTGGATCTAACTCGCCTTCTATCCTATAGGTTGTTGGTTTGCACCTTAGGCACCCCCAGTCAACCCAGCTGTGAATGGGTACCTGACTTTAGTTGGGGAAGTGAAAGCGGTCAATTGCAGTGATGGGTTTACGGCACATAGCCTCCTTGTGCAATGAGGCTTAGTATTCATTGTGCCATAAAGTATCTGCACTGCTTATGAGACCCACTTTCACTTTCTGCAACACAGTAGAAATATGAGGTTAAAGATATTTCCACTATCACAATTGCTTGCATGTGTTAAGCCATCTAAAATTATTTGGGACTTCAGGATAGTCCACTTTGTTGGTAACAAGTTTGAATTTAGTGTATAGTAATGTATTGTTAGAAACTGAAGTTTAGCTCATATTATTGAAAGTAAATTTCATGATCTTGCCTGTTAGCTTGGATGATACAGTTCATATGTTAAAAAGTAAATATATTTTTAAGCATAAAATGATGGTATGTAATGCCTGTCTAGCTTTCATTGAATATGCAATGGTAGAAGAATGTAATGATCAAGCAGTAATCTGTAAACAAATGTTTGGTTTGCAACATTTAGTGATAAATAGAACCAGAGAGTACCAGAAAGAAAAAAGTAAGGGGGTAGATTATGAAATACTTGGAGAGAGAGAACTGTGCCATGAGGCAAATACAGAGATGTACAGGGGAATAGTTAAGCCAACATTATATGGGTGTGAAACATAACTCCAGATGCAAGGTGAATGAGCAAATAGGGTGCTAAGAAGAGGAAATACTGTAAGGAGATGTGGAAGGGAAAGAATGTAAAGCAGAGTGGATCAGTCTTCTCTGGTGATAGGACACAGTATCACGAGAATGGGAAGTGAAATATTAGTACTATAAGTGTATAATTCAGAGGTGAAAGGAAGGGAGAAAGGAAGACAGAGATGAAGGATGAAATAGAAGTGAATGGGGTAGATACAGTATGGATAGCATTGTGAAAGACTGCAGAGCCTAATGTAAAGTTATTTTTCTGGGAAGGACATGTTGCTGATGGGTGTTGTTGGCTTGTGTGAAACAACAGGGATGCTGTACACCAGATTTGAGGCCTTGTAGTGGTGGGAGAGTACCACTGTAGAACACTTCTTTAACTGCAGTAAGAAATGAATGTACTGTATGTGGTTGCCCATTTCCAGCCACCCTGCACTGTACAGGAAAAGCTTCAAAGAGTAAAACACTGTAGACTGTAGATTACAACTGCTTACAAAAATAATAGCATGATATGAGAAACACAGAAGGTCACCCATAATGACCGCTAGACAGCGTTTTAGTATTATTCGCAAAAGTGACCTTAGAATCATCGCACAATGCTGTTGTTATGTACATATGTAAGGTATGTTGCATGTTACTTGCTCTGCTATTACATGGTAAGGCTTAATAGCCTAGTCATGTATATAAACTTCATCTATACTCAAATCATGTCTATATAATCTTGAGAACCTGCCATTACAATATAATTGTAGCTGAGACTGAGGTTGGATTCTGGGTCTCTTTATTTTATTTTTATTTTTTTTACAAGATTATTCATTCCACTGAGAACTTTGTAGTCATTGTATCTGCATATGTTTATATAGCCTTGGATAAATTAGCTAGGAGTGTTTAGGAACTCAGATCCACATTCAATTTATCAACTTTAGATAAAGCTCAGCCCTTGGTAATCTATAATGCCATGATCATTTCCTTAGTACCTGTATTAAAAGGTTTTCTTGGATTCATATGCAAGAATTGTAGTATTATGTACAGAACTGTATTTGGTTTAGGAAGAAAATCAGTACCTGTACATAAAAAACAAAAATAAGGTACAAAATTTTCTGTACGATCAAGAGAATGAAGGCTCATGATTTAATAATTGAGGGCTTTTGTACTGTAGCTTTTTTCCATTTTTTTTTTTTTTTTTTTTTTTTTATTTAAATTCATTAAAAATGAAAAAGATAATTTACTCGTGAAGTACTCCTTGATTTTTAATGATTCTTAACCCTTTACCTATTTAAAATTCCAGTTTTAGTCGAGTAATGCTGTATTGAGATGCTGATGATCTAAAATTGTAAACTCATTATAAGAACACTTTGGAGACTGTATATCAATGTTTTACATATGTCTTAGACAATTCATTATGCACAAAAACCTAATCACTGTTCAGAGGTTGTATTCCTCTACTCTGAATCCCAGAATTCATCCTCAGATCCAAATGGACTGATGAAAGTTCTTTACCAAATCATATCCAGATGTCATGCCTCTACACCCTCAAATACACCTAAATCACACTTTAACTTGTTGCTCAATATATAAATATCACAATTATTCACATTACCATTTTCAAATCATTGAAGGACATCATGAAAAAATTGGTAATTCACTGAAACCAATTTCATAAGGAGCAACATATTTTTGCTGTTCTTGGAAAAAATTACTGTACAGTACAGTACTATTTCCTATTGTCAAAAAATATGCTTTGTATAAAATACAGCATATTTTTGCTGAGAAGAAATTAAATGATTGCATCAAATGAATCTACTGATTGATTTTTTATTCTTTATCCCATTTAATTGTCCTTTTCTGATTTACCATTGTCTCTGGTCAATACCTATTCATGAAGAGTTTGCATACAGCACAACAGCAGCAGTCATTGTGAGTAGATTATTCCCAGTATTTGTGGCCACTACCCAATAAGCTTCCACTTGGAACATGAAAATATTAAGTGCTTTAAAATGTGCAAATTTGATAAATTCAAGTACAGTATCAGAATTATTTTTACTCAATAACTGAAAACTAGTTTGACACATTTCAATTTACTGAGCATTGGTTATGTTTGTCACTATAAGTACAGTACTACCCTGTACTGTAATTGGTTGTGAGTGCCACCACACAAAACTTGATGTGCTGCCATCTTCCCATAAACAGATCAGACATTATGCTCTGCCCCATCTCAATACAGTATATCTTTATCTCCATGATAAAGAGATTAAAGGTCACTAAACTAACTACTATACAGTTTTAAAGTAAATCTTTTTTTTTCTTTCATTAAGATACTAACAATACTGAGCTTCATAGTTTCAATTTAACTTCACTGTAGTTTAACACCAGCATACAATTTTTATAGGCTATACAACTGCTGTTAATAATAACTATTCTATGACCTAACCTCACCTCTATCCTTTCTTCGCTTAGGTGCACATCAGTATCTTCCATACGTAATGTCTTCACATGTATTCACCTGCTGAAAGTCTGCACATTGATATACTACTATATAACACTTGTTTGTTGCTATCATATGAGACTTTAGGTGGGACTTGATCAGTGAAGTAATAGTAATCCCTTAGTCGTCCTCTTGTGATGTAAAATCTTTTTCCAGCGGAATAAAACTTTTTTTTACAGAAAAAAAACGATTCATTTTTTCTGAATAGGATTGACAAGTTCTGTACCTGTCATTCTCTCTCTTGAATTTGTGTAATTACTTATATAATTGGATTACATTTATTTTCCTTAAATTATTTTTCTTTATTAATAATAACTTATTTTACACAAAGTATATTTTGAAACTATCAAAATACTTTACTGAAGAATATAGTAAATATATATGAAAACATTGCTGATGATTGTACAACACCTTTGCAGAGTACAGTACTTTCTAGTACAGTGGTCCCTCGGTTAACGAACACAATTCGTTCCAGAAGGTCGTTCGTTAACCGAAAATTTCGTGAACCAAATCCATTGTTTCAATGGGATATTGGGTAATTGGTTCCAGCTCACTGAAAAGTACATACAAAGTGAAAAAAAAATTCAGTAAAGTACACTTACTTTGAGGTGTGTATGTAGAAGGTTCCTGGTTGATGATGATAGGAATTGGAAGTGGGGTGGAGGAGAAGGGAGAAGAGAAGGAAGTGGGGATGGAGAAGAAATCACCTTTCAGGGAACCATGCTTGATGCAGTTATTTCACCAATAAAATTTTAATTTCACTAGGTGTAATTCAAGATTATGTTATTTAAATCAACACTGCACTGTGCAATATATTATCAATATGTTAAATAAATTTCAGAATGACCAATAATTGTAATACTGTAAAAACGTAAAACTACTGTGTTCAAGAGACCCAGAAGCAAGATGTTTCCTCCACTGAACAGAGACTTGGTGGGTGAGTGAAGTGGCTGATGGGCATACCAAAAACTAGTTCCCTGTACTGCAATTATGTTAAATAAGTGTTAAAATGACTAATAATTTTAATATAAAAATATTGAATAGCACAACCTTCTTGAGATTTACTCAAATGGAAACGAATGTAAGCCTAGAACCGATTACTGTATTGGCGGACTAACCTACCAGCCGATGAGCAAGCCAAAACATGTTAACATGTTTTTGTAAGAATTTCGTTTATTGAATTTTTGCTTGTTAACCGAATTGAAGATTCTTGTTGAAAGTAATTCGTTAACCGAAGCATTTGTTAACCAAGGGACCACTGTACTCTATACTACTTTTGGCAATACAGTAGTTATTGTAAATAAAAGTGTAAATTCTCTAAAAACACTATAATATCTTGTATTGGAAGCAACTCAAAATGTAAATTTACAAAGGGCTACAAAAATACAGGAAAATTTATGAAAAAAAGTTTTTTTCCGCCCAACATAAAAATCATGTTTTCTTTACATCTCTACGCAATACTCCTCCAAGTACCTCCGGCATAAGGGAGTGTGATCTCGTCGATGATCCTGGGTGATAAATCTGTTTTAATTTGTTAAGTTTTTTTGGTAGACATGTGCATGACAAGTGCAATACACAGTACAGTAATATATTTTGTAAAATTGTTCATACTGTATTACATTTTACTTCTCTGCTTTCACTAGGCAATGTGATAATCATGTTAAGACTATTGGTTGTAAACTAAAGTATATTGTTATACAAATACCATTGATGTTATGTATAAAAAAAGTGAATAGTTTAATAAGTTTCCTACAGAAGATGAGTCCAGTACCAAATCTTTTATGTATTATAAATGAATTTAATAAAATAGACCACTAAGAACTTGATAATAGAAATTAATGCATGTAAACTTTTTCATTAAATGTAGGTACAGTACGTCTTAATAATTGGTAATGGGAAACGAAAAGGAACGACTTTCTTTTTTATGGTTTGTGTATTAGTAATTCATTAAAGAATAACTGGGCTGTGTTTCCAATGGGTTAATACGTACATGTTAACTTTGAAGAGGTTACTGAAGAAAAAAAATCTATGAACACTTTTCACATGATAGTATGATTTAGACCTCTGGTAACTATCTACTAGTACAGTACTATGATCCAGAACTGCTGACAGGAATTATTTTGTTCATTATTAGATAGAATTTTTTTTATTTAGGCAGAGATAATGATGTGCATAAGTCACCTTATCATGTTAGTAATACTGTACAACTAGAATACCTTACATTGAATCTATTATAAAGGTAGTACCTCACTTACTTCATTATCAGGGTTTTTAGCTTTACCAATTAAATTTTTTTTTACATCGTTCAAACAATTGTGAAAATTAAGATTGGATAAACAAAAAAGCCATGATGAATCATTTTGGTAAAAATTCTAATTTACAAGTGAGTCGAGTTCCCATGACTGTTGAACCACAGTTTGTATAATAAAATTTTGGTGAACCAATCAAGATTATGGTAAACTAGTGATTGGGTATTTCATTCTGATGTTCTCCTGTTTCAATATTCAAGATAATGATGACCTACAGTACTATTGTTTGGGCAAATAAAAGATAATAGGAAAGTACTATTTGGTTTTATAAAATTTTGGGATTTCACCACTTGAATGGACTACTGTACTGTACAATGTTGGAGTGCCATAACCATGTCTTTGAAAAACATTATTTTCGAAATATGAAAGGGAATGATTATCACACTTAGATTGGTAGATTTTGAGTTAATGTATCAAATTTTCATCTGTGCTTCAGAAGCTCTTGAAAAAAAATGTTATCAAAGCAATAAAATTAAACTTGAAGGAAAGACTTATTTCATTCCCAAATATTTGATGTATTCTTCCTAATTAATGTCCCCTTAAAAAAATAAATACCGGTACAATATGCAGTATATCTGAAGTGATGCAATTAAATTTTCAAAAGCTTTGGTCTTTTTTAAAACCAACTAATTTTTTTTTTTACCTTTTTTAAGAGACTGCTCTACTACAAAAAGTGGCCCTAATCCTGACCTGTCAGATGTATTGTAAGTAGTACTGTATAGTATATACATTAAATGTGAACTTCTTCGGCCGAGTTCAAATGTGTGCAAGATATATCTTTAACATTAAGTTCTTGGATACTTTTCACTTGTGAACAGCTTTTCATCATCCAGATTTAGCTTGCACCAGGGTTGTCAACCATTATGTAAATAGAAAAAGATAAACCATTGTTAACTTCCTTTTAATGATTTGTTTACACAAAACATAAGGGCAGTGAAAACACAATAGGAGAAATGACAAGTGAGAAAGAATTACATTATGTCAATAACCAACTTATGATTTTGAAAAAAATTAATTAATTTGTCATTCATGAGAAAAATAGCAAACCAAAACTAAACCATAAATTTAAAGTAATTACAGGTTATGGGATCATTAACTGGCAACCTAGTATCTGGAACCTTCCAAAAACTAGTTATGTTCCATGACTAATTACAGGTACTTAAAATGAGTGACAAAAGTAATTCCCGGGCCGAGTGGGGATATTTCCAACCATCTTTGAGCTACAGCACTGTAAAAGTTTTGTTATTTCTCAGCTCATAATTTTGGGTAGATAAGCAATTTTCTCAATTTCTTTACTTGAGTTACATACAGAAAGTGGGGAAAAAATATCAAAGTATTTTTCAACTCAATTGTTTTCTTTTTTTTTTACTGTACCATTAAAAATTATCAGAAGGCACAGTAAGTCCCCGCTTAACGCTGCCCAGGACAACATCTTTTCGTTTTAACATTGCTACTGTTTAGATACCCATGATTACGACAACGTTGTTTTAAGACCAGAGATTCATTATAACATTGTCACCCAGCACAGACTACTAAGGTATGGCACGCTACGCTCTCCCACGAAGTATCCCCAAGCTTTCTCCCATCTTTGTTAAGCTTCTACAGCGTATGTACGTACTTAAGTGTTCTTGCTATAAATACTGTATCCAATCACAATGACTACCAAGCACCCATCAAGAGTTAGTGATGCTAGTGTTGTGAAGTAGCAATGCAAGACCATTAGCCTTGTTACGAAAATGGAGGTTTTAAACGGTTTTGAGAAAGATGAACATGCTGTGGACATTAGTGTAGCGTTAGGCCTAACTCCCACAACTGTGGGTATTATCCGGACCAGCTCAGACAAGATTAATGCTAATGCTGGAAGTGGTACTTCTACCGGTACAACAAAGACAAGTCGTGCTCGAAGTTCTGTGATTGAGAAGATGCTGGCTATGTGGAAGCTGGGAAATGTAACTACAGTACTTTACCATTTCTTATGGGGGAAAATCAATTCCGTTAACGTTGTGGTTTACAGGAACATAATCATGACATTAAGCTGGGACTTCCTGTATAAAGTTTTACAGATCTACAGGTTTACATCCTTGAAGCTGTGTGGAGAAGTCAAAGGACTCACAGCAGAGAACAGTTGCCGATACAAATATCAGAGGCAACTGCAAAACAGTTCATTAACCCAACTTGTATTATTTTTTGCCCTTTTAAGGCTTTCATTATAACTGTACGTGTATTATTTATATGCTTCCGTTATTAGCAGTTTATAGGCCTACAATTTTAAGTTTTAATGTTAGTGCACAAGCAAAACCACTTTTATGGCCGAATTTAGTGATCTGAAAAGAGGCTTCACAGCCAGTTAAGAGGGTTTACTGTACATTTTAGGCCTCGCCCTAAAAAAAAACCTCAGGCAACCCCCAAGTCCCAATCGTGCTGGATAAATGGTCCCATACCTGTACACTTTTCCAGTTAACAATTGTTATATTCATGGGAAAAATAATTATAATGCATTCCCAAAACTCCATTTCCTTAAAATTAATTTGCTCTCCATTTAGCAAAATTCTTTCATCAAATTATTAATTTCCACCTTTCCAAAACCTGCATCACCAATGCATTGTAATAAATTATCTGTGGGGGAAGTATTGTAACAATGTCAGGAGTTTCCCGCCAAGTTCGAGCGAATAGAAATGTCTTGGGTCTGCCTTCAGCCAATGAGGAAGCCTATGAGGCATGTTGTCATGAAGCTGTCCCTCTGTGCCACCCAGTTTGAAAAAGCCTGTGTGTTTGGTCAGTTAAATGTGTGTGTCGTGAGTGTCACCACCTCGAATGGCGGCTAAAATGCCGGTACATTATTAGGTTGATCAGTATCCCGAAATGTATTGCTAGTCAGATGACCCTGGTCAACAAGCTAGGAAGATAGGTTTATTGTTTTGAAGTATAATTGTCAAACCCTCATATTAAGTATTCAATAAGTACAGTAACCATTAATACAAGTCCTAATTCATCCCTCTCTTAAGAAAGGGAGTTATAAATGTCTTGGTATTATGCAGTAACATATAATAACTCCCATATCTATCCTGTTAAGTGTTGTATTGCAGTACACAGCTATCCACCATCTCGGCCTCCCCTTGATGCGAGAACCGACTGACCCCCCAATCTTCCCTCAGTCCCCTCCACTCCAGCCACCATAACCTTCCTCATCTCACTAGTCTTACAAGTATAATAAACAAAGAAGAAAATAGGAGATAATAGAATTAAGAAATGTAAGAAGTAGAAATAAGTAAATATAAGAAAAAGGAACAAACAGATAATTTGTTACAGCATCAACTTCCTCACACAAGGCTCATATACACCCAAAACACAAAATTCACATTATCAACTTTTATTTTCCTAAACTAAGATTTCTTCACTTGTTCCAAAAAATATATAATTTTATTTCCAAAAAAAAAAAAAGGAAAATATTATTGTCAACCTTGTACAGTATATGAAATTTTATAGAAGAAAATTAACTGATGAAACAAAAAAATAATACATTCTTAGTCAGAAAAAAAAACTCCGGGAAAGTAAGTTATCAAATTCTTCTCCAGATAACTAATAAAGCCGCAGTTTTTTGAAGAATCTTGTTAGGAAAGTTAGCAATACGTAATTTGCTTATGCAAGCTCCTTAATTTCCTCGTCCACGCATGAAATTAGGTCCTTCAGTTTGATCCACTGTGTTGGACTCAGTGAAATACCTGCAATGAGACAAATTTCAGAATACCTGTACTGTATTCAATCAAAAATTACAAGAATTACTGGTAACTCAATTTACAAGTACTCTAATTAATAAATTCAAAGCCAAGCATTAACCAAATTTTTACAGCGCATAGAACATGACTACTACCACCTAGTAATTCAATAAAATTGACTTATTGACTAACACCTGTACATACAATCCACTAGGTAATGACAATCCACATTCCTTATCAAGGTGGGTGGGGATCCTACACTTTCCAAACCGAGAAAAAGGGTTAAATAAGAACTTTGACATGAGAACAGGGATGAGAGGGATCTTCTTGTCTGTGGTTGTTCAATGGTATGAATGGATAGAATGTGGGAAATTAAGACAAGTGAGGCTGGTGGAAATGGACAGTGGGATATAGCCAGTGGCATCACATCTTTCTGGATAATGCAGTGCTGTGTGCATTATGAACATACATACATACTGCAAAAGATTGTAAATGACAATGTTGGTAAAAAGAAATTAAAGTTAATGATGTGAACAGTACTGAAACAGTATCTAAGAGGAAGGAGTCTAATACAGTGGACTTTGGCGTACTATATAGGAAGTTAAGTAAACTGAAATATTAACTTGCTTTAAAGAAGGTCACTGGACTAGGTTTGAACATTCAAATATGAGAATATTGCAAACAAATATATAGTGTATTTGAAGTAAATCAAGTAAAGAACAACAGGAAGGAGATACTGAGTTGGGAGGTATAAATAAGGGAAGGACTGAGCTTACAAGGTGACAGGTAGAAGTGAAATACAGGTTTGGAAGGAAACGGTCTTCTAAAATCCAAGGAACAGAAAGGAGTTACACGAAAGCTATCTAGGGTTAACAAAGGATAATTCAATTCTTCCATTAATTTCTTTCACTATTTTCAATTTACCTCAAGAAAAAATATGAGGTTTTTCTTTCAATATTCTAATAACTACTTACAAAAGCTAAATACATATACTGTACTGGTATTGTATTAATATTTAGTTCTCACCTTTCTTTCCTGGAAGAAACTTTCCATCCTTTTCATAGAACTCACGAATATCAACAAACACTTTGCCCCTAAACTGTCGGATCGAGACACGCTTGTTTCCCTCTAACTGAAAGTAGCCTTCACCATTGTCATTTGTGAGACGAAGTGAAGCACTTGAGGCACCTGATTTTGGCATCTTTGGTGGTGGTTCATATTTCTGTAATAAAAAAATAAAGTTTAAATCACCATCTCCATCTAGTAGAAAAATCTTTAACACTTTCCACATTGAACACATTTTTGTCAACATTTGCATAGCTGATACAGTAGAGTACCGTCAACCCTCACTTTACGCGGTTAATTCAACCAACAGGGTACCACGGAAAGTGAGAAACGCGGAAAGTGAACAACATAACATATGGGATTAATTGAAATAGAGACCGGGCCGACCCCCAAACTCCACTTTTTGACGACACACAACTATGTTGTAGTAAAGATATTATCTTAACTTTATGATGGTATGCACACACAATTAATAAGAGAAATATCAATAATATTAGTTTTTTTAACACTTACATTAGTAGAAAAGATGGCTGGGCACACGGGGATGAGGGGTTGGTTCCGAGGCAGAGGGCAGATTATTGGCCCTCACCTGTATCACTTGTATCAATTGTATCACTATCCACCACAGAGGCTTGCAGGGCCTCTTTGTCAAACCCCTCAAAGTCCATATAAGTCCATATCCTCACTATAATTATCACTATCACTGACTTGGGCCGGCTGTGGTGGGTGGCGGGTGAAGAACTCGGTAATGTTTTGATGACTGGGCGACCGTGTGGCACCCTGCTCGCACCACTTACACAACATGGCGGATGGCGGGAGAGATGGCGGGAGGTTTGGATCCAAAAATGGCGCGGCTCGCCAGCCGCTCTCTGCGTAAAGGGGTACACGCACCGCGGAATGTGAGCATTCCTGTTTCGGCAGGGTACCGGGTAAACGTGGAAACGCGGAATGTGGGACCGCGTAAAGCGAGGGTTGACTGTACAGGAAAAAATCTAGCTTAAGAATTTCTATACTGTATTTCCAGCTACTGTATCTGTAAGCATCACCACCACTGCACAAAAACTTCAAATACCAAAGAATTATGGATGATGGTTTCCTGTCAAACCAATCAAATAATTGATTTGCAAATGGATACAGTATACTGTATGCGATACAGTATACTATATGCGATACAGTAATAGGGAAAAATTTATCTTCAGTGCCACTAAGTCTCCTCTTCATGACTATCAACTGACTTCTCCATTCACACACTAGCAGCCTTACCCATTCACCAACCATAAACTACTAGCCTTACCCCTTCACTGTTCAGAATTTTTAAGCTTTCTTGAACATTCAATATTAATTTATGACGAATTTCATTTGCCAAAAAAATTGTGTGTGTGTGTGTGTATATATATATATATATATATATATATATATATATATATATATATATATATATATATATATATATATATATATATATATATATATATATATATATATATATATATATATATATCCTGTAGATGTTTAAGATTCTAACAAGGATCATTTGTTGAAGACTATTACCTACCAACACAATGACCAAAATGCACTGAGCAGCGGTTGCATTAAAACAATGTAAAATTTAACTACAGTACAGTGATGCTGCAATATGAAGAAAAAATCCATTAGTTTATAGAGGTCAATCAGCTTCAATTTATGTATATACAGTACTATCTCATTAAACACAAAACAAAAGGATATTTAAGGATAAACTTACAGCTTCAGAGCTTGAATCTGAATCGGATTCACTTTTGTCACTTGGGGGTCTCTTGTTCTTTTGCTTACCCATTCTGGCAGTGTCTTTGCCTCTTGCCATACTAGAAGAAAATCATGTGCAACACTTATTTTAGTAACCATCATAAAATATTAAGGTACAAGAAATTTAAGAAATATAAATTTCACAATTATAGGTAAATTTGTAGAAATACAGATTGCCAAGACAAATGAGGATGCTTTAAAAGCTTATAGATTCAAAAACTCCAACAAGAGAATCCATTATTAACTCACAACTTTCTGTCAATTGTTGACAATCGGTGATTCAGCACCCACTATCAGCACTCGCAACCTGACCAGGAGAACACAATGTTGAATTCACTGTGTTCACACATTCTTAAAATTTCCTGAAATTTCTTGCCATTTCTGACTAATTTAGCCAGACTAAATGAACATTACACACAAAAAAGGGCTTCTTCCCAGGATAAGTAAATAAAATGTCTGGAAAGGCCTATCCCAATTAATATTTTTATTTATTTATTCTAAGGATATAGGTTTTCCAATTGGTTTTGGCATTAACCCTAACTAAATTTCAGTTAAATTATACAATACAGTACTGTGCAGCATGCTGTAAAGGTAGATACAAGCTTTCACCTAACTGTGGAAACAATTGTACTGCATGGGATTCATGGCTATAGCAAAGCTATGGTACAGCTAAATACAAGAGATTAAAAATGCACCATTACATTTTTACTCATCTGAACCTTTATTCTCCTACCTTTCTCCTAATGAACTTTGCCCTTAGTAAGGGTAACCCTCATTTTAATGCACAAAATGCAAAAGGAAAGATCAAACAAGAGATTTGGGCAAATCTATTACTCTTTGCTAAAAAATAAACAATTACCTGTACTGTACTTGAAATGCTGTTAGTTACAGGACAGGAAAACACCGAGGCAGAAAATTGCAAACAGTGCAAGTCTGGAGTGCAGTATACTGTAATTGAGCTTTGGAAGGCAGAAGTTTGACAAAATATAATTTGAACCGAAGTGTCATGGGCCCTCCCAGATGCCCTCAAAGACTGGCTGAGGGTGCATAATGGTTAGGATAAGGATGAAGCTCTAGCTACTATGTGGTTAATGTAATTAATATAAAAAAAATTAAAAAATGTGAAATCGATAAAAATCCATTTTGATAAGACCAAAAGGCAAAACACTTCTATCCCCTTGACAATTCTGGCCCAAAAGAAGTTAAACCCAGAAAAGGGATAGAATTTGCACACTGAATTAACAAGTCACTCACTGAGTTGTCATATTCAGCACCATTTCATCAATTGATGTGATCAAAGGGTATGAATAGACCAAACTCGGACACTAAGACATCTTTCTTTATAGGGTAGGTTAACCTGGAACCTTGATCTTAATTACAGTACTACTACCAAAGGCAATACAGTGTACACTGTGTACAGTACTGTTCTCTGGTACTGGGGTTCGAGTTAACAAGAACTTCAAATATTTTTCATATACAGTATTATATATCTTTATTAACTCAAGAACATCCCAATTCTCATTACAGGGGGTCCCTTGGTTATGAACGGGTTCTGTTCAAGAGGACGTTCGTAAGTCCGATTTGTACGCAAGTCAAAACATGCTATATGCATACTGTACCAACAAAACAATGTTTAGAATCCCCCTATATCATAACCTAAGTCCTTATATACATCTAAAACCACTTAATTTAAGACAAAATACAGCAAATGAAAGAAAAAATAAGTCGTCATCAGGTAAATAAAATACGTACAGTACAGTACTGTAAATTTCAAGCTTAACCCCGTTCGTATTGGCAGGCGTTCGTAAATTGGGGACCTCCTGTATCTTGTTTCCCATTGTTCTTCGAAATGAATACACTCCATCCACCCGGAGACGTCAAGTGTGGCAGCCGAGATTAAAAAATCTCGGCAACAGTACCAATGTACTTCAGTGTAGTGTACAGTAAACCCTTGCCATTCGCTCATTTGTAATTCGTGATTTTGACGATTTGCCGTAAGCAGTTGGTGGCTAGATTGCGAGCCTTTGCTCGCAGCACGAGTCACCCCCACACATCTCGTGTTGTACTCTCAATATTTTAGTGTTTTTGTGAAATGGCCCCTAAAAGACTGCCTAGTGTCAGTGTTGCTAGTGGAGTGAAATTTAAAAGGCAGAAATTAGTGAGGAGCCTGACAAAGTTTTATTATTAGTTAAGTTAAAAGAGGGGACGAGCTGCGGCGACTGGTCAGTTGTTTGGTATAGGTATACAGTAGTGCACTAAGGTAGTTTTAGTTGTTATTCACGGTTTTGCCAATTCCCGCCATTTCTTGGAACCCATCCCTCACAAATACTGAACAGTACAATACTATATTGTGCAATTGGTACCCAAAAGATTCTATCATTCTGTAGCTTGCAAGTAGCAAAATATTCTTAAAATCTGCAATTTTTCTTTCATAAAATGAAGAAAACTAACCAACCTAACCTAAAATACCAAAATGATTTCCTATTCTATTCAGTCCTTTTTCGTAAACCACCCATCCCCTTTTAACGATTTTTTCTCTTTCCATTTAATAGAGATCTTCGAGAAACGAAAGAATGAACTTGAATTTAGTGGGGCATTCCAAAAACAAGCGCGATATTCGAGATTTATTTGTTGTAATAATCACAAATTTTTCCAAGTCCCAATTTGATGTTATGGTGACAGGCAATGTTGCTCTCGTTTACATAATGTGCATCCATTGCTCTTATTTGGAAAACAATGAACCAATTACGGTTGACCTTTCACATCTGGCTAAGTAGGAAACGACCAATTAGGTTAGGACGTGGCCTGTTAGTACGTACACCTAGTTTAGTTTCAACCTTTTCCCATGAAAAAAAATTTTTTCACTAGTTTTCTTTGCTTTTTAGATTCTGACAGTTTTGGTGAAAATCATTCGTTTTCAGTACAAACTTAGACAGTGTCCACTACGAAACAGTAAAATTGCATCATTTTTATACTCGTTTACTAAACTAATGAAAAAAAAAATGATCACGAGAAGATTCGTCGAGCTCGAGGCGAGAGTATGGTGGAGCTCAAAACAATACTTGGATACACCCCATTTTGTTACCGACCCGGTTCGTCACCAAAACTCCATTTCGTTACAAATATCAAATCCATCTCTTGACCACTAACAGTCGCTGGTATTAGGGATAAATTGTAATTTATTATTTTACACGAATAGAAATTATACATGTATACAAACGAGAAGTATTGTATTATACAGTACATTAATATTAATTATTTGATAAAGAAAACAATTCAACATTGGTAAACAAAATACAGAACAAATGAAGGCGATTTGGCACCAACGCACAAATCACCGAGCAACGAGATGATTGCAGGCGTATTGACAATATTTTTATTTTCGGCTTTAATAAATCTTCTTGGTGTATTTTTATTATTTTCTAGGTCAATATGCGGAAAATATCATCAGGGATCTGAATATCTTGTCATATATGGTTAGATATAGAAACAAAAATTTTCTTCTATAACGTTTCCTTCGGATACGAGGCATAGTGAAGATATAACTTACCTTAAGTGAGGCTTTGCTAGGGTGTCTCTTATTACAATACGTACCATGTATAGCGTTCTGCACGATACGGACACTCCGATTTACATTTTGGACACTTTACAGATGACGCAATAACACCGTCAGCCCTAAAAATATAAGTGGCTGCTCCATTCTCCAAAACAGGGTGAATAACATGCCGGTCAGCCAATGTAACACCCTTCTCAAACATTATCCATCTTGAAACTGATCGGGAATAAAAAATTACGCTCACTGGCAATCGAGTATTATGTCGCAAACACTCACGCGGATTCGCACACACAACTGACAAAAAAATACTCCCACCGATTGGCTAATTTTATTCTTAAAAAAAAAAAAAAATTTCGAACTATAAATTTCTGACGGAAACGTTATAGAAGAAATAATTTATTATTTTTTTCTCCAACCATATATGGATCAATATTTATATCCCTGGTGATATTTTCCGAGTATTGACCATTTTCTATCTCAAACAAGTTATTTTCGTGTATATATTACTTTTATCCTCTTCATCACTGGTCGGCTCGTTAGCCGCTTGGGCAATCGGTTACGTCTCTTAAGAACTGTTGGCAAGTACTGTGTATGCACTGGCTCCAGTGTTTATCTAGTCTGAGCAAAAGCTAAAATCATGCACATGAAAAGCAAATCATGACAAACAAGTCTAATCTCTGGAAGTTGTGGGATGAATATGAAGAAAAAATATCACCACTTCTAATTTCCTAAAAAAAATTGTCTTCTGCCAAGCTTGCATGACTAAGTTTTAGTCTTTCACATATTGTTTATGTTAGGTGGTTGCAGGAGTATTTTTTTTTTTCGTTTTAGTCAAATTGTAAGTGAGATGCTTGCATGAGTAATAACGTTTTTATTTTAGTCTTTAATAAATTGTCTTAGCGAGATGCTTGCATGATCCAATGCCTTGTTAATGCCGAGGCATAATTTCGGAATACAATTTTGTAAACCAAGTGTTCCGATTAAACATTGGTAAATATTTTCACAAACCACCGAGCAGGGAGATGATTGCAGGAGTATTAACAAGGTTTTGATTTTTAATTTTCGTCTAATAATTAATTTTTTTTTTTACCATTTTCTATCCCAAGCAAGTTATTTTCGTGTATATATTGATGGGAATGAACGCAGTGACGAAACGGATAAAGATAAAGCAGTGATGACCAAACGGTTTAAAAATAGTGGTGACGAAACGGGCTGGTGACGAAACGGGCAGACCCCCCACCCCAATACTTACACCTCATAATTTCCTCTACCAAGACATAACGCAATGCTGCTTCTACCACACACACTTAATGTCCATCTGTCTGATAATTCAACTTATCACAAGTGCCATATTCTTAGACTTAAAAAGAGTACTGGAGCAAACCAGTGTTACTGGAGTCGATGAAAAATAAAACTCCGTTTCAATACAAACTGTACTGTACTATGTAAGGTGTACCTTATTTACGCTATGCAATGCAGTATAATACAATAAGTGTATGTATTCTTACCAGTGTAATACTCTGAAACTAATTCTTCCCTGTAAAAATGTGGACACTGCAGGTACTGCTTCTAATGTCGAACTAAGAGTTACTGAAGGTCCAATCCAATGGCGGCACGCGGTACGAGAGCTGAGCAGGAAGACGCGGGAGAGGACAGGCGCGGGAAGTGATACCACCAATAATGTAGTCTTCATATGTTGTAGTATGAAACTTTCAGGGATTTTTTGTCTGAAAAATTTATTGAATTATATAATATATATAATTTTTATATTGGTAAGACACATGACATTAGGCTCAGTACTTATTTTTGAGAAGTATATAGCACGCATTAGATGTCAAGAAGAATTTTGTAATATGCAAGTTATATTTTAACGGTATTTGTCAAATATATAAGTTTAAGATAATTCTTAAATTGTATGTTAAATTATTAAGTTCTTATTAAGCTGATTTAATTTTCTTAAACGGGTTAATAATTTTAAGAGTTGACAAAACTGTCCTCAGAATGGTTTCTGAAAACAATAAAGGTAACCAAAAAACTCATGCTACGTATAAATATTCAAGTATTTGCTTTTATTTTCTATGTAGACATTACTTCTCACCAAAGGTACTTTGTTCAACAGAAGTCTTGACTCGTTGATAATTACAGTATGTATTGCTGTTTCAACAACTGAAGTGTTGAAGCGCTTGTTAGTAATTGCAAATTTACAATAGCTATACGCAATTAGAGGTACAATGCGTGAAATACTTATCTATCTTTAGACTAAACACGCGTTTTGTGAAGGATTGTGTATTTGAAATTAATGGACGCTAGATAAACAAGAAAGTTTACTAATGGCATTTCATTTTTAACCAATAATGCACAAATGCAGCAAACTCGGTAGAAGAAAATAATGCTTTTTACTTTTACTTTTATCCTCTTCACCAAAGATCGGCTCGTTAGCTGCTTTAGGCGATCGGTCACGTCTCTGTTACGCACTGTTGGCAAATACTGGGCATGCACCGGCTCCTGAATGTACCTGAACCCGCTCCAGTGTTGGTCAAGTCTGGTCTTGAAAGAGCTCACACTCGGTGCCGTCACAACGCTTTCTGGTAGAATGTTCCAAGAGTTCACAACTCTCACTCTGCCAAGATGAACAAGGCAAGATCATGTATGATTCACCCGGCAACAGCTGGTACCATGGCTAACAACCTCATCCGAACAATAGAGCGGAAATACTTCTGATTCATAGCACTGCCATGATCACGTTTGTGTAGTAGTCCGTTCAACACTTAATTATTCATATTATGCGACAGCGCCCACAAAACATGTGAAATGTTTGTGTCCCCCAGCAGAAACTCCGTTCTCTATCCACATAAGGATATTGTAGTTCCTCCATTTTCTTTCGTATACCCGCTCAGGGACTCCAGTCAATAACACCGGTCAACACAATTTTTCTGGCACAAGGTTTTTAAACGGATTTTAAGTAAATTTGGGGTGCAGAATCCAAATATGACTTTGGTTTTTGTCTATCACATCAGGTTTTTGAGATATACCATATTGCACTTTTGCTGGGAAACGTAAACTTTTGGATCAAAATTGACGGTTTAAACATGTATACATAAATTTTTTCAGCATTATAATTTGTATTTTTCTATAACCAAAAATTGTTAATATCAAATTGGAAAGTTAATGCACATATAATATTTAAATGTAACATTGAAGGGTGAAAAAAAACAATTAATGTACGGTAGAAATAGTGCAAGTATTAAGATCAAGTTACAGTTACATAAACTTCCTCTTTTTGGCCGATCTCTTATGTACAGCTTCTGGAATGTCTCTCATCAAACTCCAGCAGTAGTCCGCCATCATGTTCGAGTCCCATCGACCTTGGTAACGTTCTTCCATTACTTTAATGTCTTGATGAAAGCGCTCCCCTTGCTCCTCGCTCACTTCTCCCAGATTTTCTGGAAACTCGTCCAAGTGACTGTGTAAGTAGTGAACCTTGATACTCATTCTGCATCCAAGTGCTTGTAAACTCAAGAGCAGCTCTTCCACAATTTCTTGATAGTTGTCCGCTTTCTTGTTCCCTAAGAAGTTCCGCACCACATTAGAGAAAGCATTCCAAGTTCTTGCCTGTGCCTCAGTCATTGTTGCAAGGAAGTGTGGATCTCTGAGTAGTGTTCTTATTTGAGGTCCATCAAAAATCCCTGCCTTTTTCTTCTCGTCGCTAAGACTTGGAAAGGTTGAGCATATATATCTGAAACACTCTCCACTATGATCAAGAGCCTTGACGAATTGCTTCATGATACCAAGTTTTATGTGCAGAGGAGGAAGGACAATGTTTTTCCTGTCAACCAGAGGATCGTTAATGATATTCTTGTCACCAGGCGTCAAACTATGTCTTGGTGGCCAATTCTTTTTCACCCAATGGTCTGCTGTAGCCCTGCTGTCCCAGTAGCACAGAAAACAGGGGTATTTTGTGTACCCTCCTTGCTGGCCCAATAGAAAGTTTACCATTTTCAAGTCCACACAAATTAACCATTCATGAGCATGGTATTGCAACCTCTCTAGAACAGTCTTAATGTTTTCATACTCTTCTTTAATTTGTACAGAATGTCCGATTGGAATTGAACCATACTTGTTTCCGTTATGAAGAAGAACACATTTCAAGCTCCTTTTAGAACTGTCAATAAAAAGTCTCCAATCCTTACTATCATATGCTGGTAGTCCCATGGAGAGAAGAAGTCCTTCTACATCATTACAAAAAACAAGCTGGTCATATGAATGAAAGTACTTCCGCAGTTGCTCTTCTCTGTTGCGATAAAAGGAGACACTCGTGCCAGGTTTTAAGAGTCGTTTCTCTTGAAGCCTGGAAGCTAACAATTCAGCAGACTGTTTTGGCAAATTTAGATCTCTGACCAGATCATTCAATTCTGACTGAGTAAACAACGTTGGCTTTTCACAATCTTCACCAGATGGCTTGAAAAGATCAGTCTCTTCATCTTCATCAGTAGAAACAGGTGAATTCCGGTCTATATCCTCAATCTCTGGTAGCTCAGTAAATTCTGGCACGTTACGTGATGGAGCAAATCTGAGATCAGATTTGGATTCAGCACCTTAAAGTTAGTAAAAAACAGTTAAAAGGTTTCATGCCAGAAAAAACAAATATTTTTTTGTAGACCAGTGTTATGTATACCTAACGTGAGAGGAAATAGTCTAGATGTATTTAGTATATGTTGGAGGTATCTTGCATCTTTATGTGTAGAGCATTTTGTGTTAAGATATTATGTGTTGGTTATTCTTTCGGCCAGCTGTAAATCATGTTTCGTATATTGTTACCCACCTAACGTGGGTTAGGTCAACCGATGAGCAGGACAGGAGGATGTATGTAAGAGCCAGAAACCAAACAAAGCAGAGTAGAGAGGGGCTGTAAAGGAGTTCAAGAAGCTGGTTGCAAGCGAGATCAATTGAAACCCAAAGGCGTTTTACCGCAATGCAAAGTCAAAATTAAAAACGCGATTAGGAGTATCAGACCGGAGGCTTGAAGATGGTATGTGGGATTTCGTGATGTTGGTTCACACTCAGGATGGGTTGGAGAAAGGAAACTCACATATTGTATTGGATGTACAGTGCAGCTTGGTGCTGGGAAGTGGCAGCGTAGTTACAAGCACGGAGTAGAGAGAGCTGGTTCGGGAGCGTGCTCAGAAGAGGTGTTGCTTGCTGCGTGGCTGTAGGTAGAAGAAGGGGCAGGTCACGACGAGAGGAGGTCTTATATAGCGGAGGTAGGCGTGGCTTGATAGTTAACCTCCGCCTTGTTAGGCGGAACTAGTAGCCGACCTTAGACCACGAGGCGTTGGCTGGGGAATTCGAAAAGGGGTCGGCTAGTCAGCGACAAACGGCAGTTGTAGTTGTAGGGGAAATATCCACTACAATACTCCCCCTTCCCTCCGGGCGGTGCAGGAGACTTGTTGTCGGCAGGGTTGTATCCCACATGTGAGACATAACGGGCCGGGGAGTGGATGAGCCGGCCGCTACGGGAGACGACTCTGTCTAGAGACACGAGATCTGTGGGAGAAGTAGGTTTGTGGATAAGAGAAGGTTTTACAGGCGAGAAATGTGGTGCTTCTCTTGCGGCGGGTACACAATCCTCATTGGCGCCGGGTGGGGTGTCTGAGTCCATAGGTCCGGCTGCAGGGTCGTCAGAAGCAGTGGGTACCTGAAGAAGAAAAGAGGGTGCCCAGAAATGTTGTGGGCGAGGTGGTGCTGCAAGGGGTAATGGTGGGCAGACTGGCGGAGGAGGTGCGGGATTAATGTGTTCAGGGCGGTGGGAAGGCTGGCGTGGAGCAGTAGCCTTGAATGCAAAAACCGCCTGATGTAGTGTTTGTAGTAGGTCGTGACGGGCAGCAGGAGTGAATCGGTCAAGGTCAGAAGTAAGGCGTGTGATCTGCTGCTTGATATTGGCGGCGGTTATGGCGCCTACCCGTCTCCGTCGATGTCGCTTTGCCGTGTGGTTGCAGGGGGCCTCACAGCGTCTAGCGTTAGCACCAAAACGTTGATGGTACCAACAGGGGGTAGATACACTGTGCTGGGGGCTGGGGGCTGCGTCTGAGGCAGGACGGGTGTGTTGGGGTCGGTAGGACGTGGTGCTTGGGGCAGGAAGAGGAACAGCTGCTTGCTTGGGGGAGCAGAGCTGCTCTAGGGTGTCTCACCTGCTGTGTAGGGACAGTAGCAAGTCCCGCATGTCTTGTGAGGCGTTAGTCTTCTGGGGAGCGCTGATCTGGTTGACGAGACCGGAGGAAAGTGAAAGTGTGGCCGCGGAGTTGTGCGCGGACGTATGGCGCACAGCTGTGTGGGGCCGCTAGTATCGTGTCTTTAGAGCATCCCGTAGGGCAACGAATTTGTTGTCAGCTGGAGGGTTGGTGATGGTCTCTGATACTTGCTTGGCGACTTCTGTGGGCAGAGAACAGACCAGGGCGACGTACTTTTGTTTGTCTGTAGCTCTAGAGCCGATGAGAGCTGCCTCCATGTGGATAAGCCAGTCTTCAATGCTGTGATTGAAGACTGGGAGAGTGATCAGTTTCTCCTCCATCCTGTGTGAGTGCGATTCTCTGGGGGTCACCATTTGTGGGGTTTCGAGATGTTGTCTCACTCAGGATGGGTTGGAGAAAGGAAATTCACAATGCGCTCTCTGTATATATATTGTATTGGATGTACAGTGCAGCTTGGTGC